AAAAAAAAAAGAAAAGGAGCATAATAATTTTCATTCTACTTTGGTATTTTAATTATGGATAATTCGTTTGTATTTTAGTTTCAATTTAATTTTGACAATACAATAAAACAACCTTTTTCTTTTTTTTTTTAATAAATTGAAGCACAATAAATAAGATGTGTAATGTTTTTTTTTGGTAAAGGACTACAGTCCCGTTACGGAACAATGACGCTGTATTTTTAATCGTTAGATGCATATACTACACTAATCTCCATGCGCATGTAACGTTAAATGATCTCAACGGAATAAGTCCGTAACGAGACTTTGTAGCCTTACTCGTTATTTATTCGCCTGGTTATCTGACGCGAAATAAGGACTCTGTCCAATATTATCAAAATTAAAAATTTAATACTTATATGTAAATAAAAAAAATATACTACCTCTTATTATTTTTAAATGTCATTTTAGTTTTATCAACCATCAACAAAATAAATATCGTTTCGGATATTTTGAACATATTTTTCCATTATTACCCTCTTTTAGTAACAAATATATTGCGTCTTTTCATATTCACTCTTTATTTTTTTTTTCAAAATATTCATCTCTATCTTCATTAATATTATGGGCAAAAAAAAAAATATTCTTAATTATTATACAACATTTTAAAACGACAATTATTATGAATATGAGAAGAGTATGAGTTAATGTGCAATTTAGACTTTCTTTTTTTGGTTCAACACATTTTCCCCTTTGCTTTGAATATGCAGGCTTTATACGGGCATCAAAACTGGGCGGGAACGCGTTTTGTCACCGCCCCTCAGCTCGGAATGAATATGCTTCCCTTTACATTTACACCTCCTTTCTCTCTCTAGGGCATCCTCTCTCTCTCTCTCTCTCTCTCTCTCTCTCTCTCTAGAAAATACTCATTTCGTTGCGCTATAAATACATAGCTTGCCTTGCCTTCGGAGCTACGCACCGTGCTCCATTCGAGATCTGAGCTTCAGTTCAACCTTCTCGGAGACGCTCTGTTTTTTCAGCTTCAATCTGATAGTCTCTGGTACGTCTGCTCATTTTTTGTGTTTATTTTCGAGATTTGGCTAGATTTGTTATGTATTTTTTTGGCAATGTATGAATATCTATGATTTTCGACGTTGAAGCATTGTTCAGTTCATTTTTTGTATGTTTTTCCCCTTCCCTTGGGGTTGGATTGGAATTGAAGATTTGTATGCAGCGGTTTGGTTTTTGTAAGTGATGATCGTCTAGTTTGATGCTATATTTCATTTGGTAGGTTTGATCTAAATCTCTCCATAATCGCTGTTTTTTGAGTATGCTCTTGTGTATATAATCTGTGCTGTACATAACTCATAAGGTCAAGGTTGTATGCTGGAAAAACATCTCGGATCTAGGAGTTTACGTACGAGCATCATGTTGTGTATTTGTTTGGCATTTATGAATATACATATGATTTTCAACGTGGAAGAATCGTTAAAGTTCATTTTTAGTGCAACTGTTTGGTTTTTGTATGTGATGGTCTTCTGGTTTGATGCCATTATTCATTGGTTAGGTGTAATGTTTCCATAACTGCTGTTATAACTGTATGCTCTCGTGTGTATGATCTGAAATATCCATATCTCGTGAGGTCACACATGTATGCTTGCAAAAGATCTCGGATCTAAGAGTTTACATACGAGCTTCGTGTTTGGCATTTGATAGCAGTAGCTAGTGCACTGATTATTTGAAACGACTGTGAATTTGGTGCATTTTAGCCTCGTTGTGCATCTTCAGTAATCCCCACTCTGATTTTCTCTGCTTTTGAGTTTATATAGGCATTTTGTGTTTTGGAGTTCATGAGTAAAATAGTTATCCATAGTTGAAGGTTTTAAAGCAATTGAGAACTTGAAAGGGTTTTAAGATTTTTGTTTTGCTGAATTTTGTGTTTATTGTTTTTTTCTTTTAAATAATAATAAAATAAAGTTTCTGGTTCAGTAGAAGCAATGGATTAATCTCTGTGGAGCTAATTAGGTTGTCATCAAACTGACAATGATATTGTGAACCAATTTTTAGCTTTTAGCAATACTTCATTCACACACTTTTTCCTGTCCACTTTCCCTTTATGGAATACTTAACTTTGCAGGCAAAATTGCTTCAGCAGTGTTTTTATGTAGTTGATGATGATTGGGTAACCTCTAAGGTGTGCTTGGCAGCTCAAAGTACACATCATAATGAATGTTTGCTAGATAGCTTGTTTATATATATATATATATTCATGTATATCCCAAACATTACAATAATGGATGTCATATAATATAGTCCTTGCTCTGTTTTACTCAATTTCATGGTCAAATAAAATGCAGCAAAAGTAACTCTTGCATTTCAGGCGTACCAGCACAAGGTGTAAGAAATGCTGGAGCTGCAATGACTTAATTATTCTAACATCAATGATTTTTTTTTTTGTACTGATCAATGAAATCTGATATTATGCATATTATTAATAAGTTAAAGCTTATCTAAACACGATTTGCCTCTTGCAGATATGGCTCCACCAATTGAGACGCCCGACAAATCCCTTGTTCAGAAGATAGCACATTCACCTCTTAATGAAAGGATACTCTCTTCACTGTCCAGGAAATCTGTTGCTGCTCATCCTTGGCATGATCTAGAGATAGGTACTTACAGTCTCTCGAAATTACGTTCAAATCTATGTTAGCGTTCATCAATTGAATACAATTCGTCCTTGTGTCTATGCAGGGCCTGGAGCACCAATAATCTTCAACTGCGTAAGCATATTGACTTACTTGTGATAAATCAGAGAAGGCTTAGATGCTAATGTTGAAATGCCTTTGGTTGATATTGGTTCAATTCTTTTGTTTATTTAAATTATAAAGACATGTTAAGTTCCTGAGTTGTGAACATTGTAATTAGTTGCCATCTGATGTCAACAAGTGTTTTGGCATGTACCTCATCACTGGTTCAAACAGTTCATCTGATGTCACTTTTCCAAATAATTGTCTAATGTTATCAGTTTGCTACTACAGTTGAGCGTGGTCAACTAGTTTTTTTCTCATTGTGATTACAGTTGCACTTTAATTTTGACAATTTTTAAATTTTTCATTTTACATGTTCAACCATTGATTTTATTCGTCATCAAACTAAGTTTTTTTCCTTTGTTGTCTTTTCTTGGAAATATATTCCTTTTTACTTTTCATCTCTCTTTGGATATCAATGGACCTCTCTTCTTTATGCCTCTCTGTAACCTTTGCATGTATGTTCCTTTGTCATCTCTACTAAGCTCAATCATCTCCACCTGTCACCCCTTCCAGCATTATCCAAATGAATCCTTTTGGACTTAAACTACATGAAAACTCGTATCATCTATAACAATATTGCACCATGTATGTTACTGTTTCAACCAATTTATGGATCAGTTGTTTTCTCTTCTGCCTCATTAATATACAAACACGGTCTTGTGTTATTTTCTGAGCTTCTCAAACCAACATTATACTCCCTGCAGGTGGTCGAGATAAGTAAGGGAAGTAAGGTGAAGTACGAGCTCGACAAGAAAACTGGCCTGATCAAGGTACTAAACCAAGCTTTTTAATTTGTCAACTATGTTATGCCGGTTAAAATTTGAAATTACCAAAAAAAATCCTTGTTCCTTCAGGTCGATCGTATTCTTTACTCATCGGTTGTGTATCCCCATAACTATGGCTTCATTCCTCGTACGCTTTGCGAGGACAGTGACCCAATGGATGTATTGGTCATTATGCAGGTAGAGATCTCGGGATTTCTTTTAGACACTTAAAAAAGTTAAAACCACATTTTACAGTCTGAGAAGTGATTATTATCATTTAAGTTTTTCTTGAAACATATTCAGGAACCAGTTCTTCCTGGCTGCTTTCTGAGGGCCAAGGCAATAGGCCTGATGCCCATGATTGATCAGGTGAACTATATACTTTCTTACTACAGCACATTCATCTTATGATTCATGGGACTATTTTTTTTTTAATTATTATTACATTAATTGTTTTTACATCAGGGAGAGAGAGATGACAAGATCATTGCTGTTTGTGCCGATGATCCAGAATACCGGCACTATACTGACATTAAGGAGCTTCCACCCCATCGATTGGCTGAGATCCGCCGTTTTTTTGAAGATTGTATCCTTTCTAATACCATTGTTCATTAGTTCCGAATATTCTCATGCTGACAAATATACATCCTGTTTTTTTTTTTTTTTTTCCTTTTTCTTCAAATCTCACTTTAATCGAATTGTGAACCGTCACCTTAACAACTAATCAGACAAGAAGAACGAGAACAAGGATGTTGCAGTTAATGAGTTCCTTCCTGCCACAAGCGCGTACGAGGCGATTCAGACCTCCATGTGAGTTGTTCGGTTCCTTTCTCTTCAAATAACTTTGGTTTGACGTCATTAAATAATAAAACCAAAGTTTAGATGTTTGGATTAACATAGCATATACACCTTTTTGGGAGTGCATTGGATAATTATAATTTGAAATATGAATGGCCTCTTTTGTTAAATGTTAAATAATATGGCATTTTTTTCCTATATAGTAATTCTGGGAGTCGATTATTTCTTGAAAGGGTCGTATAAAATTTCTGTTTTCTGGTGCAGGGACCTTTACGCAAACTATATAGTCGAAAGCTTAAGGCGGTAGTTTGGTTCCTTGCCTGTCGCAATAACAAGGGCAGTGCTCCATATCCTCTAAAAGAAAATATTCATATATACTTATTTGCTTTTTATATACGATTTCAAGATGATGACGAATAACTTCTGCAAGTTGGTACATTTTTCGGCACAGCTTCTTGATCGAAGGTGTTTAAATTCAAAATATGGCATTTGCTTACTAAGAAGGGGTAAACTGTTTTTAGTACTTTACTGCTTTCACAGATGAATGTAACAACACCCGCTTTTATAATATCATGGTTTACAGGTTTTGTTTTGTTACTCGGTTTAGCATTCACTTGTGTTTATCTTCTCTTCTTTTGTCACTGTTGTTGTCATTCTCTTGTGAAATCCCAGGTTTATATGGGCTATTTTGATTTTGTTAAGGTTCTAATTTAAAAATTGAAATCCCCAACCGTATCCTAACTCTGTTACAAACTCAAAAAGTCTCAGTCCCGTAACATTATGAAATTAAAAAAATTTATTTAGTTACAAACATTAAATCAAGAAGGATACAAGATTGATACAAAGTGTGGACAAAACCTTTGGAAAGAAAATAAGAGCATGTTTGTTTATAAGATTTTTCAAAAAAATTCTCACATTTTAACTCAACCATTTTTTTTAACTCAACTTTAATTCAACCTCACTATCATCAATATTATCAATATAACTAAATAATATCAATCAATCATTTATACACACCACATAAACCTTAATTCACTATTCATCCACTCATATTATTTTAACTAACCATCACATCACATCTTCTCTTTCCTACTTTTACATCAAACCAATTTTAATTATTTTATTTTAAATATTATTTTAATATACCCACTAACAACTAATCATACCACTTTTTCAAAATTAACTAAACCAAACCAAAAAATCCAAACAAACCCAAAAATTTTCATAAACAAACATGCTCTAAATGTCTATATTATGATTATGAGTGTAAACGACTCGAGCTCAAGTTCGAGTTCATGCTGCTTGAGAGCTCGGCTCGTTGACTTAACGAGCTCATAAGATCAGTTCGTTTATCAATATTAACGAGTCGAGCTCGAGCTTTAACATGTCATAATCGAGCTTAGACAAGCTGAATTATAAAAATCATGTTTTCGAGTCTTATCGAGTTGAGCCAAGCTCAGCTTTTGAACGAAACGAGTTTTAAATAACCTCGAGCTGGACTCATTTATCAAACGAGTCGAATCTAACTCACGAGCGACTCATTTAATTTAACAGCTCTAATTATGATGTATTATGTACATACTTCATAATCTAGTAGTTTGAACTAGTTCATATAAATTAAATTAATGCAATTTGTTTTAATTATGATACACTTGATCAATTTATATTACAAACATATTTTAAAATTTAAGTATTTTGTATATATTTCTTAAGTTTTTCTTATAAAATATATTAATGAATAATCTCTCGACTTAATTAGGTTTGTCATCCATATTGCATAATAATTAAATAAATATTTTACCTTGATATAAAATTTAAATTATATATCGTAGTAATTAAAAATTTATTTATTAATCACATTATACAATATAAATTAAATATTATATTAATTTAAAATGAGTAAATCATAAAAAATAATGTCATTTTATATGAAAATGAATTACTACGATATTAGGTTTGGTCAAGTTACTATCCAAGCTTGGCCAATCGAGTGAATGAGTTAGGTTCTACCCATATTATTACTATATTACGTATAAAATAATGTCATTTTATTATAATATTTAATCAGGTGAATGAATTAGGTTACTGCTCAGGTTGATTAAATTACTTTTATGTGATATTTAAAATAATTCAAAAACATGATACAACTGGAATCGATCCCATTTGACCAAGTTCGAGTCGGTGTGGTCGGTCCAAATCGACTATTGAAACTAAATATCATTTCAATATTAGAAATATTTTGTTTTCGTAAATATAATTTAGTCCAATCTCCAATTAATCATAATGGTTTTATTATAATATGGTCATGATTTATGAATATTTATGTATCGTTTATTGATATTGTATTTCAACTTTTATTAATATTTAGTCCTTGCTCAGAGTTGGACCGATCAAGTTATTGGTTGGATAAGAATTTAATTTATTAATATTTTAATATATATACTACTTTTCCTAATAAATTTATATAACAAATATTAATTAAACATCTGAGCAATCTAAAATATTCAAATGTTTTAACTAATTGACACAAAATTTATAAACCTCTATATTATTTAAATATGTATCTTTATTCATATTAATAATAGTTTAAAATGTAACAAAATTAATTTAAAAAATCTTACCGAACCTATCAGTTCGATTGGCTGATGGTAATCAATTCGCTAGGCGACGTTTTATTCGAGCGAAATGTACAAATAGATTAAAACCGATTGGTCCCATTCTCGATCTATCCTA